CCATCATCCTGCCTCACCCTCCTCATTGCTCAAATTCCAGGTGTGTATCGCCCCTACCAGCTTAGCAACTCTGTTTTGTTGCTGTGATAAAATACCCTGACAAGCTGGGTGTGGTGGAGCACGCCTTTAGTCCCAACACTCAGGAGGCAGGCGGATCTCCTGAGTTTGAGGCCAGCCTGGCCTATATAGTGAGTTCCAGGCCAGCCATTGCTACACAGTGAGACCCTGTCTTTAAAGACAAGAAGTACCCTAGGGGTTGGAGAGATGGCTCAGTGGTTAAGTACACTGGTTGTTCTTTCAGAAGACCCGGGTTCGAATCCCAGCACCCACATGGCAGCTAACAACTGTCAGTTCCAGGGGATTCGACAGCCTCTTCTGTCCTCTGAGGGCATTGCACGACACGGGTGCACTTACCTACACTCAGGCAATACACACATACACATAAAAATAACAAAATATGTTTTTTTAAAAAACAAGAAGTACCCTAAAAAAAGGAAGGATTCATTCTGGCTTACAGCCGGAGGTCCAGTCTATCACGATGGGGAAGTCAAGGCAGCAGGAGTGTGAAGAGGCTGGTCATATCACATCCATAGTCAGGAAGAACAGAGAAATTAATGTTTATGCTCACCTCACTGTCTCCTTTTAATACAGTTCAGGATCCCATCCAGGAAATGGTGCCACCCACAGTGGGCAAGTCTTCCTACTTCAATTAACCTAATCAAAATAATCACCCATAAGCATGCCCAGAGACCCATCTACCAAGTGATCCTGATTTTATCAAGTTGACAATTGAGATTAACCACCACAGGAACCAAATTTGATGCGAGTTGTAGGAGGTCAGGACCACAAGGCTCTTGCAAACCTACACTTGTCCCCAGCTCCTATGACCTAGGGTATGATCTGGGATGAAGAGGTTGTTCATCAGTTAGGCATGGACAAGGCTAAAGAGAGGCAGAAGGGCTGGAAAGATGGCTTAGTGGTTAAGAGCACTAACTGCTCTTGCAGAGGACCCAGGTTCAATTCCCAGCACCCACATGGCAGCTAACAACTGTCCCTAGCTCCAGTTCCAGGGGATCTGACTCCCTCTTCTGACCTCCATGGGCATTGCATGACACAGGTGCACTTATATACATACAGGTAATACACTCATTATACATTAAATAAAACTAATAAAAAAAATAAATTCATAAAGAGAGGCAGAGCTCTCAGAGGATTTGGGGGAGGTAGGACATGGTGAACAGGTGATGCTTATAGAGTAGCCCCAGTGGAGCTGGGGTGTAGAGGTGGGAAATTGGCAAGCTGAGGATGGAGAGAGAATGGTTAGGACAATGTCCTAATTTCATTTTCTATTGCTCTGATAAAAGACTCTACCAAGGGCCAAGCATGGTGGTGTAGACCTTTAATCCCAGCACTTTGGAGGAAGAGGCAGATCGATCTCTATGTGTTTGAGGCCAGCCTGGTCTACATAGCATGTTCCAGGCCACCCAGGGCCCCATAGTGAGCCCTGTCTGAAAAAAAAGAAAAAAAAATGGCAAAAGCAACTTAAGGAAGAAGGGGTTTATTGGCTCATAGTTCCAGAGCAGAGAGCAGCGAATGCATGCTAATGCTCAGCTCCCTTTCTGAACTCCTACAGTTTGGGACCCCCCCTGCCTAAAGAATTGTGCCACCCACAGTGGCAGACTTCCCACCTCCATAAGCATAATCAAGAAAAAGTTCCACCTACCAGCCCATAGGCCCACCTGCTCTAGATAATCCCTTATTGTGATTCCCTTCTCAATTGAGTCAGGTTGTGTCAAGTTGACAATTAACCATCACAGCTTTGGTCTCATAATCCTCTCTTGAGGAATATGGAGGGTGCACCCAAGCACAGGTGGGACTCAGATGCTCAGAGAGGAATAGTAATAGTAATGCCTTTAGGGTCACACAGCAAGGAGTGGAGGAACCTGGCCTAGAACTCTGTTGCTTGGAAGTCACAAGGAAGGACATATGAGAGGAGACTGTCCTCATCACGGTCACTCTGTCACCTTCTGAGTTTTTGTATCTCTGACAGTTCCTCTCTGTGCTTTCTGATTTCCATGGTTCTCAACAAAAGTGGAGGGTTCAATTCCAGTACCATAAGAATTTTTTTTATTTTTTATTATTTTTATGTGTATGAGTGTATTGCCTGCATGTGTATAAGTGCACTCATGTTGTGCAATGCCTGTGGAGGTCAGAAGAGGGTGTCGGATCCCGTGAAACTGGAGTTACAGATGGTTGTTAGCCATCATGTAGATGCTGGGAACCGAATCCAGGTCCTCTGCAAGAGCAGCCAGTGCTCTTAACAGCTGAGCCATCTCTCCAGCCCCACAAAAGATTTATTTTTTTATTTTATATATATATATGAGTATTTTGCCTGAATGCATTTATGTGCACTACAAGAGTGCAGTACGTCTCTGGAACTGGAGTTACAGATAGTTATTAGTCACCATGTGGGTGCTGGGAACTGAACCCAGGTCCTCTGCAAGACAGCCAGTGTTTTTAACTGCTGAGTCATCTCTCCAACCCCTAAGAATGTTTAAAGATTTATTTTTATTTACATGTGTATGTCTATGAATGTATACCATGAGTTGACGTTATAGGTTGGTATGAGCTACCTGATGTGGGTGCTGGGCACCGAACTCAGGTCTTCTGGAAGAGCAGTCTCTCCAGCTTCCCCTATCCCCATAATTTTGTTCTGAGACAAGATTTCACTATGTAGACTAGTCTGGCCTCAAACTCACAGAAATCTGCTTGCTTCTGCCTCATGAGTGCTTGGATTAAAAGCCTGTGCCACCAGACCTGGCTCCCCGAATACTCTTTTAAGATGTTAATTGGGGCCCGGGCATGGTGGTACGTGCCTTTAGTCCCAGCACTCGGGATACAGAGGCAGGCGATCTCTGTGAGTTCAAGGCCAGCCTGGTCTACATAGCAAGTTCCAGGCCAGCTGGGGCTTACAAGGAGACCCTGTCTCAAAAAGACCAAAAAAAAAGTTAATTGGGGCGGGTTTGTAGCAGAGTTGGTAGAGTGTTTGTGAGCATGCACAAGCTCTGGATTCCATCTCCAGTGAGATGAGAGGAGTGTTGTTAAACTCTATACATGCCCAACCCCTTCCCTCTCTCCATCCCATCCTACACCCTGGGAAAGGTCTGGCTGTTGCTTAGCAACCAGCAGAGCCTTGGAGAAAGGACTCCAAAATAGCTCAGGAGGCGGTTCCCTCTGTTAAGATAGAGGTCTTGCGTGTGTGTGTGTGTGTGTGTGTGTGTGTGTGTGTGTGTGTTCTACTTTGGGCCAAACACAGCCCTCACTTCCACATCACACTGACTTCTACTCCACCCCTAGTCCACACGAGGACATTTTGCCTGGAAAGCTAATTGTCTTTGTCATTTTGGGTCATGTCATTGGGGGCAGTGTATTGAGAACAAAAGAGGGGACGGTCTTGTGGCGCTACCACCTTCAATGTTTGGCTTTGGAAAAGCTGGACACAGTAGGAATTGAAAACTGAACATGTGGGGAAGGCAGGGAGCTTAACTTAGAGAAAGCTGGGTCGCTTCAGGGTTGCTGTGGATACAGACTGCAAGTTAGAAGCCCCTACAGTCTGTTATCCCACTCAACGAAGCAAGAGTAGGGGTTCTGGGGTGTGTGACTGGTTTAAATTGAGTCTAATATCTGGAGATGGCAGCTCAGAGGCATAACATTTATCTAACAGGCTCCAGGCCCTGGGTTCAAATCCCAGCACTGTGAGCAAACAAAAAGGCTGCTGCTGTGACTCAGTGGTAGAGTGCTTGCCTATCATTCATGAAACCCTGGGTCCAATCCCAGCACAATACAATAAGATTTTGATTTTACATGTATTTATTTATTGAGGGAGGGTGTGCATATGCTACAGTGAAAGTGTGGCAGTCATAGAAGAGCTTGCAGGAGCTGCTTCTCTCCTTCCACTACATGGATTCTGTGGATTGAAATCAGGTCTTCAAACTTGGCAGCAAGCATCTTTACCCACTGAGACGTCTTGCCTACCCAAAATAAGATTTTTTTAAAAATTTGTTATTTTTATTTTATGTGTATGCATGTATTGCCTACATGTAAGTAACTGCACCTGTGTTGTGCAATGCCCACGGAGGTCAGAAGAGGCTGTTGGATCCCTGGAGTATGGACAGTTGTTAGCTGCCATGTGGGTGCTGGCATTTTAACCCGGGTTTTCTGCAAGAACAACCAGTGTTCTTAAACGCTGAGCCATCTTTCCAGCCCCCAGATTTTTTTTTTAAGTCAACTGGGAGTGTCTGCCTAGTTTGCACAAAACCCTGGGTTCCATTCCCAACACTACATAAACTTGGCATAGTGGTTCATGTCTGTAATCCCGGTACTTAGGTGGAGGCAGGAGGATCAGAAGTTCAAGGTCATCCATGGCTACACAGTGAGTTCAAGGCCAGCCTGGGCTACATGAGACCCTGTCTAAAAAAAAAAAAAAGTTGAGGTGCTGGAGAGATGGCTCACCGGTTAAGAGCATGGGCCACTCCTGCAGCTATTAACAACTGTCTATAGCACAGCTCCAGGGGATCAGTTGCCCTCTTCTGGCCTCTGTGGGTATTGCATGCACGTGGTACACTTAGATGAAGGCAATACACTCAGGATACACATAAAATAAAAATAAATTTAAAAACTTAAGTTGATAAATTAAGCCTGAAGGAAAACAATTAAAAATAACAAAACATACAGGGAGACCCTATCTCAAAAAGGCCAAAAAAAAAAAACCAGGAAACTCTGGCCTGCACCCACTCACCTTATAGGTGGGGAAAGCCAGTTCACACTCTGAAGTGTCACCCATGGCGCACAGTCACCTGCCCCCCTCTGCAGCGTGAGAGCAAGCGGATTAGAGCACGAGTGGGCCCTAAACCTGCAGGATTAAGTCGCTTAGAGAGATGCAGAGCGGATGGCTGAGAGGTTACCAACCCGCCTCCGGTCTGTGTGTGTGTGTCCCGCAGGGCCGGCCACCGAGGACCGCCGTCATGTCCTCCACCGTGAACAACGGAGCAGCGGGCATGCCATCCCCGCCCGACGCCGCCAACGGCTTCCCGCAGCCCGGAGCCTCGTCCGGGCCCTGGCCGCGGGCGGAGGAGGAGCTGCGCGCCGCCGAGCCTGGCCTGGTGAAGCGCGCGCACCGCGAGATCCTGGACCACGAGCGCAAGCGGCGCGTAGAGCTCAAGTGCATGGAGCTGCAGGAGATGATGGAGGAGCAGGGGTGAGCAGGGGGCGGGGCCAGGCTTGCAGGGGCGGGGAGAGTGGGCGGGGCCCGATGTGGGCGCGGTTAGGCTGTGTTCTGGGCCTTGATGCATCAAGGTGGGCAGAAGCTGGCAGCGGGTGGGGCTGGGGGGCATGGCGGGTGGAGCCAGGGCAGGGGCAGGAGTGTGTTTGGGCTGTGCTCTGGGGGTTGCTACACAACAGGGTGTTGGGGAATGTGGGTAGGGCTAGTCTACGTGGGGGAGGCATGACCTGGATATGTGCCCAGGGTATTGATGCAGCAGCGTGGAAGGTAGCCAGGGCCAGGGCTGGGCATAGAGTATGGCCTTGGCATGGTGGGTGGGCTTAGGAGCAAGTCTGGAATGTGGCCAGGGCCTGATCAGGCTTGTGGCCAGCAGCATGATTAGTGGAACTGATTGAGGGTGGAGCTTAGTGGGCAGGGTCAGACAAAGAGTGGCTGGGACAAGGCAGGGTTGGAATAGGTTGAGGGTGTTCAGGGCACCTGGGTGCTGGGGCTGGAACCTGAGATGGAGTCTGGAGGGCACTAGGAGCCAGCAGCCTAGTCCAGGCAAGTAGTCAGGGTCTGGACCAGATGGGTGGAGCCATGTATTAGTTATCTTTCTATTGCTGTGATAAAAACACTGACCCAAACCAACTTGACTGGTTCCACTCCACACTTGATGCTGCCCTTCAGTGTTGCCCCATGGTCCTGGCATCTCCACTATGCTGGGGTCTTCACTGCAACTGAGGCTGCACCTTCGCCAATAGCCTCTCCTGGCCTTTCAAGTTTCCAAGCCTCAGATTCTCTCCATGACCCCTTCACACCTTCAACACCAGTACCACCTGGGAAATGCTTAAACATTGCCAAGTTCTGCTGCCAGTTTGATGTGCAGCCTTGCCCTCCTCCTGGACCACAGCTTCTGTGTGCTGACCCAGAGGAAATACTTCCCAGAAAATTTCACTCAGTGATGCTGATCTCTTGTTACTCACAGATGATTTTTAAGCCCCAGGTGACCAGCATCAATTATCCAAGTAGAACACAAAAGGTTTCCCTTCCAAAAATTATTAATTCAAAATATATCACACAAACAGCCCTGATAGAGTGGTTGCTTCCCCTTGAAGTTTCACAAGCCAGGCCTCCGTCATCTACACCTTTCAGCATTATCTTCCAAGTTCCTACAGAACAGCTCACTGAACTCCAAGCACTTTTCCAGTCTAGAGCTCCAAAATCTTCCACAGTCCTCCTAGACACATTTGGTCAAATCTAGCACAGCAATACCCCACTCTCTGGTACCAATTTCTTCTCTGTTGCTATGATAAATGCCATCACCCAGAGAAACTTGGGGAGGAGAGGGTTTGTTTTATCTTACATCTCCTAGGTCACAATTCATCACTGAGGAAAGTCAAGACAGAAACTCAGGGCAGGAACCTGGAGGCAGGACCATGGTGAATCAGTAGTTACTAGTTCACTCCTCTGGCTGGTGTTCAGCCTGCTTTCTCATACAACCAAAGACCACCTGCCCAGGTGGGCTGGGCCTTCCCACATCTCTCAACAATCAAGAAAATGGGGGCTGGGGAGATGATTCAGCGGTTAAGATCACTGGCTGGTCTTACAGAGGACTTGGGTTCAATTCCCAGCATCCACATGGCAGCTAACAACCATCTATAACTCCATTTCCAGGGTATCCAATGGTCTCTTCTGACTTTCATGGGCATTACACAACACGAGTGCATTTATACACAAGCAGGCATGTGCACTCATACACATAAAATATAAAATAATGAAATATTTTTAAAGCAAGTTGACTTAATCTCCAGGTCCCAGCCATTCTCCTGTCAGTCAGTTTGTGTCCATTCCTCTTCTTTCTCAGGTCCTCTCTCCTTCGTGGACTCTTAACATCTCCTGCCTGAACCCCAACATTATCCAAATGCCAGCCTCCCTCCTCCCAGGACCCTGTCTTCCAGACACCCAGTAACCAGAGCCATCTTTCGAAAAAAAAAAATCCAGCCATCAACCTCTCCACCACATCTCCATTCCTAGCCACTCGTTTTTAAAAGATTTTATGGTGAGGCTGGAGAGCTGGTTCAGTGGTTAGAAGCTCTTGCTGCTCAATCATGAAGACTGGAGTTGGGAGCCCTCTAGGGATCTGATGGCCTCTTCTGGCCTCTAAGGACACAGCCACACACACACATGCTTGCACAGACACACACACACAAAATTAAATTATTAATTTGGGGGGGGGTAACTGGGAGCTTTTTTTGAGATAAGGTCTCCCTTTAGCCCCAGCTGGCCTGGAACTCACTACGTAGACCAGGCTGGCCTTGAACTCACAGAGATCTGCCTGCCTTTGCCTCCCAAGTGCTGAGATTTAAAGTTGTGAGCCACCAAGCCTGGCCTTGAATTATAAATTTTTTTAATTTAAAATTTTTTAGCTATTATTTTATTTTATGTGTATGAGTGAATTGCCTGCATGTGTGTAAGTGCACCAGTGTCGTGCAATGCCCCCAGAGAAGAAGGCATTGGATCCTCTGGAACTGGAGTTATGGAAAGTTATTAGCTACCATGTGAGTGCTGAAACTGAACCCAGAACCTCGGCAAGAGCAGTCAATGCTCTTAACCATTGAGCCATCTCTCCAGCCCCACATTACAAAAAAATTTAAAAGAAAAGTTCTTCTTTTGATGCCACAACATGAAAGATCCTGGGGGACACTAAAACGAGACAAAGAGGTATGACCCTGGCCCTCAGGAAACTCTAAGCCAGAGCAGGATAGAAACAACTTAACAGATAATTACTAAAGCATGAACCACTTGCCAGGATCCAGGAGGTAGAGGTTGCTATGGAAACACAATTGCTGACATCCTCCCTACTGAGGGTTAACCATCCTGCTGTCAACAGCACCCAAAGAGTCAAGTCTTTATGCCTTGGCCATGGTTATTTATACAAGGTGATCCTGGAAGTTAATTTATGAGTAAAGGGATAGGTTCAGAAGCTGGGAGTCTGGTTCAGTGGTAGAGCACTTGCTTAGAATCCCCCAGTGAGAGGCTGATGGTGTGGCTCAGTGGTAGAACACCTGCCTAAAATTGCCCAGTGAGGGGCTAGAGGCCTGACTCAGTAGTAGAGCACCTGCCTAGAATCCCTCAGTGAGGGGCTGGGGTGTGGCTCAGTGGTAGAGCACCTGCCTAGAATCCCTCAGTGAGGAACTGGGGGCCTGACTCAGTGTTAGAGCACCTGCCTAGAATCCCCAGTGAGGAGCTGGGGATGTGCTCAGTGATAGAGCACCTGCCTAGAATCCCCCAGTGAGAGGCTGGGGATGTAGCTCAGTGGTAGAGCACCTGCCTAGAATCACCCAATGAGGGGCTGGGGTGTGGCTCAGTGGTAGAGCAACTGCCTAGAATCCCCAATGAAGGGTTGAGGGCATAGCTCAAGGGTAGTGCATGCTTGCTTAGCATTTGCAAGGTCCTGAATTTCATCTCTAGCACCAAAAATATGAATAAATAAAGGATACGCTTGAGTTTTTTTATTTAAAGACTTTTGAAAGCCAAATTATTCTTCTGTAAAATATTTACTGAAGAAAAGATCTACAAGAGACAAGGTCACCAAGAGGAAAGGGCATACTATTTTCATGGATAGGCTAAGTGGTGAGGGCTGGGCCTCTGTGGGGACACAGTAGATCCTAAGCAGAGGACAAAGACAAGCTAAGACCCTCTCTGCCTCTCCCCATGCCCTCTGTGCAGAAGAATGAAAGATCCACTGCCCTGGAAGCCATGAGCCATTTCATTCACTAACAGCCACTGGACACCTGCTGTGTGTTGTATCAGGCACCACTGTATATGCAAAGAGTGGTGAGGGGGCAAAGAGTGGTGAGGGGCAGCCTGTAACCCCAGCATGAGAGAAGCAGAGACAGGAGTAGAGGCCAGCCTGGGTTTCAAGTGAGTTCCAGTCTAGCCTGGGCTATATAGTGAGATTAGAAAGGAAGAGAGGGAGGGAGGGAGGGATGGAGGAGGGCCGGGGAGGAAAAAGGAAGGAGAAGAGGGAGGAAAAGGAAGGAAAAGGGTTTAAAAAAGAAGGGGTGGGAAGGTAATAATAACACTTCTATAAAACATAGCTGCCACTGGGCATGGTGGCGCATGCCTTTAATTTCAGCACTCTGGAGGCAGAGGCAGGTGGAGCTCTGTGAGTTCAAGGCTAGCCTGGTCTACATAATGAGTTCCAGGCCAGCTGGGGCTACAGGGAGACCCTGTTTTAAAAAGACCAAACAAGAAAACCAAAACAGTTGGGCTGGAGAGATGGCTCAGTGGTTAAGAACACTGGTTGTCCTTGCAGAAGACCTGGGTTCGAATCCCAGCACCCACATGGCAGCTAACAACTGTCTGTAACTCCAGTTCCAGGGGATCCGACCACCTCTTCTGACCTCCGTGGGCACTGCATGACACGGGTGCACTCACCTACATGCAGGCAATACACGCATACACTTAAAAATAATAAGGCCTTGCCGGGCGTGGTGGCGCATGTCTTTAATCCTAGCACTCGGGAGGCAGAGGCAGGCGGATCTCTGTAAGTTCAAGGCCAGCCTGGTCTACATAGTGAGTTCCAGGACAGCTGGGGCTACAGGGAGACCCTGCTTCAAAGAGACAAAAATAAAAATAAAAATAAGGCCGGGTATGGTGGTGCACACCTTGGGAGGCAGAGGCAGGTGGATCTCTGTGAGTTCAAGGCCAGCCTGGTCTACATAGTGAGTTCTAGGACAGCTGGGTCTACAAGGAGACCCTGTCTCAAAAAGACCAATAAATGAATGAATGAATGAATGAATGAATGAATGAATAAAAATAATAAATAAAATATTTTTTTTTAACTGAAACAGTTGCCAACTGGTTATGATGGTATACACCTTTAATCCCAGCACTCAGGAGCAGAGGTGTGAGTTCCAGCCAAACCTGGTCTACATAGAGTTCAAAGCTCACTGAAACAAAAGCGAGACCTGTCTCAAAAAAACAGAAACAGAGGCTGGAGAGATGGCTCAGTGGTTTAGAGCACTGCCTGCTCTTGCAGAGGACCCGGGTTCAGCACCCACATGGTGCCTAACAACCATCTGTAACTCCAGCTTCAGGGAATCTGATGCCCTTTTCCTCCAGGGGCAGTGCACATACATAGTGTGTATACAAACATGCAAGCAAAGCACTAATACACATAAAATAAAAATAAATATATCCAAAAAAAAAAAACAAACAGCAATACATATAATTGCTAACTGGAATGTGCACTGTGAGCAGGTCTAGAGAGCAGGTGGGGCAAACCTGAAGTCAACAATTACCCACATGCTTCTTGGGTTCCACAGGTATTCAGAGGAGGAGATCCAGCAGAAGGTCGGGACCTTCCGGCAGATGCTGATGGAAAAGGAGGGAGTACTGACCAGGGAGGACCGGCCTGGGGCCCACATGTAAGTGTTCACATGGGCAGCGGCAATGGAGTGAGCCCTCGAAGAATTTGTCCGAGATGCACCATCAGGGGCTGGGGTGGATAGAGAGGAGTCATGGACTCTGCCCACTGGAAGCTCTGGCCTGGCCAAGGCACAAGGCATGGGCAACCTGGGACTCACTAGGGGCTTCCTGCTACTCACTTGGGTTCTCTCTATGCACAGCAGCAGAGCAGGAGAGGGAGGCAGCCCAGATCTTAGCTCAAGGAATCCTGGGCCGCAAATGGGAATGTCAAAAAAGTTCTGACCCCAACATTACTACTGGCAGGCAGTGTGACCCCAGGCAAACTACAAGCTAGACTGCACCTTAGTTATTCCCACCTGCAAACGAGTTCTGTGTAAACATGTGCACTAGAAGGTGGAAACCCAAACACCACTGGGGCTTGGGGTGTGGCTCAGTGGTAGAATACTTACCTTGAATCCCCCAGTGAGGGGCTGGGGGTGCAACTCAGTGGTAGATCACCTGCCTAGAAAACCCCAGTGAGGGGCTGGGGTGCACCTCAGCGGTGGAGCACCTCCCTAGAATCCTCCAGTGAGGGGCTGAAGGCGTGGCTCAGTAGTAGAGCACTTGCCTAACATGCACAAGCCCTGAGTTCAAGCCCTAGCATGGGAGAAAAAAAGGAAGGAAACACATATGAGCAGGCTGAATTGAAAAGATTGGAAGAGTGTGGCCTAGCTTGTGCCTGGCAGTGTGCACTTGGAAATGCTCTGAGATCTATTTAGGTGGGTGTTCCTTGCTACCCCCTCCTTTCTCCATCCCAGTACAAGTGTCCAATGCTGGAAGTGATACTGAGACTGGATGGGAAGCCAGGGGAAAGGCTCCTGGTCCTTCTCTCAGCAGTTGGACTAGCTAAAGAACAAGAATCTTCCTGAGTTCCCAAGCCTCTGTCCACCTTTGTTCCACAAAATGAGTTCATCCCATGCATGCAATGACCCCAGAGGCCAGAAGAGGGTGTCAGATCCCCTGGAACTGGAGTTATAGATGGTTATTAGCCACCATGTGGATTCTGGGAACTGAACCTGGGTCCTCTGCAAAAACAGCCAGTGCTCCTAACTGTTGAGCCTTTTCTCCAGCACCTTAAAATTGTTTTACATTTATTTATTTGGGAGCGGGGTATGCATGCCATGGCATGTGTCGAGGTCAGAAGATGACTTATGTGAGTCATTTCTCTCTTTCTGCCATGTGGGTTCTGAGCTTCAAACTCAGGTCATCAAGCATGGTGGCAAGCATCTTTACCCACTGAGTCACCTTGCCAGCCTGACACTGTTTCTTTTGTGTGTGTGTGTGTGTGTGTGTGAGAGAGAGAGAGAGAGAGAGAGAGAGAGAGAGAGAGAGAGAGAATTTTACATGCATGTATGTAAGTGCATCTGTACATGCAATGCCAATAGAGACCAGAAGAGGACATCATATCCCCTGGAAGTGGAGTTATGGATGGTTGTTAGCTGTCATGTAGGTGCTGGGAATGGAACCCAGGTCCTCTGCAAGAGCAGCCAGTGCTCTTAACCTCTGAGCCATCTCCCCAGCCCCCTGACATTCTGTTTCAAAAGGCAAAGCAAAAGTTTCTCAGTTATATAATCAAATGTTTGTGAGAGAAGGCTTGTGGAAAACAGTATTTGCAAGCTACTTTCTAACACAGACTGAGCAAATCTAGTTATTTTCTCAATGCGTCTAATTTTAGGTGCAGTGTGACCTCTCTGTACCTCACCATTTATCTATAAGATAGGAATTTTAATGATGGCCCCCATGTCAGAGACTCATTCTGAGCACTCAATGATTAAATGAGATAAGTACATGGAAAATGCTCACAGTACTGCCTGCCACCCTGGCTAGTCATTATCGTAATAGACACAGTATCAATGTTTGCCCTGCACCATGGGGCCACAAGATGAGAGAACACAGGCCTGATCTGACCCTGTTCCTGTCCTCATCCCGAGCTTGGGGAAGCCCTGATGTGATGGCTGAATGGAAGAACAGAGAGGCAAGACCTTTGCCTGGAATCCCACCACCATCCCCTCTCACTCATCTTTGGTTGGACAGTGTATTCCTTTGGAATGGGAAACAAAACCAGTTAATTAACTAAAGTGTTGGTGTTGGGGCCAGTGAGGTGGCTCAGCAGATAAAGGCACTTGCCACTAAGCCTAGTGACCTGAGTTCAATCCACATGCTAGAAGGAGAGAACCAGCTCCTACAAATTGCCCTCTGACCTCTACAGGAGTGCCATGGTGTGTGCCCGGCACATACATACACCACACATACATAAATAAATGTAATGGAAAAAGAATTACAAAACATAAAAACCAAATAAAAGTGTTGGCATGGAAAAGAGGGAGTGACAATTTTGATTGTGTGTGTGTGTGTGTGTGTGTACATGTACATGTATATTTGTGAGTGTAGAGGTCAGAGACCAATATTTTGGTCACCTCTGTGGTGAAGTGACACCTCCCATCCTCTCCTACCCAATTCCCACCTTCCATAGCCATGAGGGCCATTGACAAGCTAACAAACATGAACACAAAAGCATAAAATGGTAAGCAAACCTAGAACTAAGCACCAAAAGCCACAGAAGCATCTAGAAAATGGGGAAGAAGCCCAGATCCAAGAGACCATGGGGTCCATCCCCAGTAATGCCAAAACTAAAAGTAATAATATAAAAATAATATTAGTAGTAAAAATAATGGAGGCTGGGGAGATGACTCAGTGGGTAAGATGCTTGCTGCACAAGCATGAGAAACTGAGTTCAAATTCTCAGTACTCATAAAAGCCAGGCATTGTGGCACATATCTGTAAGTCAAGTACCGGCAAAGTAGATGTAAATTATCCCTAGGGCTTGCTAGCCAACCAGTCTAGCACAAACTGTGAGCTCCAGGTTTAGTGAGAGAGCCTGTCTCAAAAAAATAAAGTGGAGGGGCTGAAGAGCTGGCTCAGAGGTTAAAAACACTTGCTGCTCTTGCAGAGGGCCTAGGTTCAGTTCCCAGCATCTTCATAGCTGCAAACAACAGACCATAACTCCAGGTCCAGGGGATCTAACGTCCTCTTCTGGTCTCCACAGTCATTGGGTGCACTTACATACATGCACGCAAAACACTCATACACATAAAATTAATCAGCCAATCAAAAAAATTTAAACTGGGGATGGTGGCCCATGCCTTTAATCCAAGAACTTCAGGAGGCAGAGGCAGGTGACTCTCTGAGAGATTGAGGCCAGCCTCGTCTGCATAGCAAGTTCCAAACCAGCTGGGGCTACAGAGAGACCTTGTCTCAAAACAGACAAACAAATAAACGAACCAATGAACAGAAAGCATCTATGAAAGACATTAGCCAAAGGGAGCAAGTTTGCTCTATAAATAACCTTCATCATTTTCAAGTTCAGATCAACTGACACTCCCTCCTCCCTTCCAGCTCACTCACATACTACACACCATGTCCTTACATTCTGCAGTTTCCCTAAAGACTGTATTTTATGTGTCAGGCATTTGTGTGGTTGAGGAGCTGGGTGGGGGGCGGTGATGGACCCAGGAGCACAAGGGGAGGCTGAGAAGGCTGGACAAGTCAGTGGAGCAAGTTGGAAAGGTGGTAGGAGGCCACTGGCTTCAGGATGAAGAAGAGCAGAGAGGCTTGAATGAAGCAATGTGGGAGTGCTTGATTCTACAGAAAGGATGACAGGAATCTCTCTATCACCCCAGAGAAGCCTCCCGAATAGCTGTGTGGTGGGTCCAAGGCTGTTGGATCCAACCTGGTGTTCGCAAACTGGATCATGATCTTTATTTTCCTGATGTGCTGGGGGAATGATTCCAGGTTCCCATACTAGACAAATGCTCTACACTGAGCTACAACCCAAATCTCTCGCTGCGGGATTCTAGGCAAGTGTTCTACCCCTGAGCCTCCCTCCAAGGCCCTCACTAAGGAATTCTAGGCATGAGCTCTACAGCTGAGCCATTCCTCCAGAACCTCACTGATGGGTCCCAGGCAAGAATTCTACCACTGAACCAAGGCCCCAGCCCCTCACTGGGGGATTATAGGCAGGTGCTCTGTCATGGAGTCACACCCCCAGCCCCTCACTGGGGGATTATAGGCAGGTGCTCTGTCATGGAGTCACACCCCCAGTCCCTCACTGGGGGATTATGGGAAAGTCCTCTACCACTGAGCCACACCCTCAGCCCTTGAGGTTTCTTGTGTGTGTGTGTGTGTGTGTGTGTGTGTGGTATATGCACATGTATATGCAGGTGTACTCACCCATGTGTACTACATGTGTGCATATGTTGAAGCCAGAATTTAACAATAGAATGTTTTCCTGTCTCCCTCAACCTGTTTGTTTTTTCTTTTTTGTTTTTTGTTTTGTTTTGTTTTTTTGTCTTTTTGAGACAGGGTCTCCCTGTGGCCCCAGCTGTCCTGGAACTCACTATGTAGACCAGGCTGGCCTTGAACTCACAGAGATCTGCCTGCCTCTGCCTCCTGAGTGCTGGGATTAAAGGCGTGTGCCACCTAAGTTTTTTAAGATTTTTAAATTTTATGTATATAAGTGGGGCTGGAGAGATGGCTCAGTGGTTAAGAACACTGGTTGTTCTTGCATAAGACCCGGGTTCAAATTCCAGCACCCAAATGGCAGCTAACAACTGTCTGTAACTCCAGCCCCAGGGGATCCTACAAGCTCTTCTGACTTCCACCAGCATTGCACGACATGGGTGCACTTACCTACATGCAGGCAATACATGCATACACATAAAATAAAAATAAACAAAAATTTAAAAAATTTATGTATATAAGTGGTTTTCCTGCATATATAAGTACACAACATGTGTGCCTGGTGCCCATGGAGACCAGAGGGAGTGTCAGATCCCCTGGAACTGGAGTTACAGATGGTTGTGAGCTGTCATATGAGTGCTGGGAACTGAACTCATGTACTCTGCAAGAGCAAGTGCTCTTAACTGCTAAGCCATCTATCCAGCCCCATCCCTCAGCATCCTTGAGGCCCTGGGCTCAAGCCTCATTATTGCAAAAAAAAAAAATAATTAAATAAGTTTAATTTAAAGAATTGTCCTGGGCTGGAGAGATGGCTCACTAGGTAAAGGTGCTTGCTGCTAAATCTGAGCACCTGAGTTTGATCCCCAGAACCCATATGACAGAGCAAAATAACCATCTTCATCTCCGGCAAGCTGTCCTCTGATACAGTGGCAAGCACAAGCATCTTCCCCATATAATATATACACATAAAATAAATAATATTTAAAAATTTTTTTAAAGAATTGTCTTATACTAATTATCTCTCATGTTGGAGAAGAGGCTCCGAGTCCAGCCTGATGAGACCCCAGGCCACAAAGCCATTCGGGGACCAAACCCTCAGGATAAGGCTTGTGTGAATCCCTGAGGTAAGGATGGTATCACTGAGCACTTTGACAAGAGCCCACAAGGACCTAACAACTGTGGCAGGGCGTGACTGGGGACTAGAAAGGAGCTAGGAATAGGGAACAGCAGCTGCCCCCTGCTGGGTGAGCAGAGAGTTCTGAGATTCTGAGATGGATGGGGAACTGGGGGCAGGGAACTGGAGGCAGAGCGCTGAGGCCCCCACCCGTGCCCTCTGGCACCAGGTGTGATTGATGAAGACAGCCAGGCAGCTGGAGCATCTGAGTTAAGGAGGCCTCTGGAGGCTGCCAGGGGAGGGAGGGGTGGGGAGAGACCATGAATATTTCAGAGGCTGAGGCCAGAGCTGAAGGAAAAGAGGAGAGAAGGGAGGTGCTGGGGGTGGGATGCTCAGGAAAGGCAGATGTCAGCGATGGGGGACTGGCTCTTTGAAAGAGTGGGGTTCAAGTAAGGGAAAGAGGCTAAGGGAGAACAGTGAGGCTAAGCCACAGGGAGGGAATTTAGTGAGAGCTAAGGCAGGGCTCAATGAATGCATGGAATTTTCTTATTTGAGCCAGGGTCTCATGTAGCCCAGGCTAACCTTCGGTGCCCTATGTATCCAAGGATGGCCTTAAACTTCTGATCTTCCTGTCTCCACCTTAGAGATGGAACTCAGGGCTTTGTGCATGCTAAGTATTTGGTTAACTCTGCACCCCCAGTTTGGGGTGTGTGTGTGTGTGTGTGTGTGTGTGTGTGTGTGTGTGTGTGTTTTGCTGGGAATGGAACCCAGGACCTCCCACATGCTAGGCATGTGTTCAATGGCTGATACCCAGTCCCCAGCCCTTCACCAGGGAATTCTAGTCAAGTTCTCTATTGCTTCTTATTTTTTTTTTAATTTTGAGACATAGTCTAGCTAAGTTGATCGGGCTGGTTTTGAACTCACTATATAGCCCAGGCAGGCCTTGAACTTGCAATCCTTTTGCCTCACCATACCCAGTAGCTGAGATGACAGGGCGGTGACACAGGACCCTAAGCTGGCTTTCTCTTTTGCAAACCATTGCCCCAGGGTTTAAATTATTCAAATCTCCAGCAGCCCCTCCAGGGCTGGGGGACCGTAGACCCCTCTATTCTTCAAGCACAGCCCCCCTCCCCCCAGCGGTGTACAACCCAGAGGGACTATAAGCGTCTTTATCTCCCCTTAGCATGGCAGAGACCCCGCGGCGGATGGAGGGCTTGGAGCCGGGCCTGGAGTACCCACCCTTCGATGAAGATGATGGACCGGTGGATTGCGACTGCCCGGCCGCCTGCTACCGCGGGCACCGGGGGTACAGGTGAGCAGCCGCCGCGGCAGAGGGGAGGGCAGCGCGGGACCGCCCCCCTCACCGCCCCCGCCGCCCCTTCTCGCCCAGGACCAAGCACTGGTCCAGCAGCTCCGCGTCGCCCCCTCCCAAGAAGAAGAGGAAAAAGAAAGGCAGCCATCGAAGGAGCCGGTGAGAGGGGCGCAGGGCCCCCAGAGGGAGGCAGGGAGAGGCCCTGGGGTGCCCATCCTTGGCACGCCAGGGACACAGATGTTACATTGGGATCCTAGTCCTTAAACCAGACCCGCCTTCTCTCTTGAATCCGCATCCCTCAACTGAGCCCCTTCGCCTCATTCCCACCCATACATTAGGCCCGGATCCCTCGCTAAGCCCCGCCCCTCACTGAGTATTCCCATTTCCTAGGATTCATGCAAGTACCTTTCCAAGTGTGGGTGGCCCTGGGAAGTGGGTCATCACTGGGCCTCAACTACAACTTCCCCATTTCTATGTCCCCCTCCTCTGTCCTGAGGTACAAGCTGGGGCCACTAGCTAACCGGGCCCATCTGTCTGTCCTTTCTCCCTGGTATCTCACCTCAGCAAAAAGAGAAGACTAGAGTCAGAGTGCAGGTCGGTGATAAAGGGGACAGGGATAAGGGTGGGGATGGGGATGGGGATGGGGATAGGAATGGGATGGAGATGGGGATGGGGATGGAGCCCAGGGTAGGGATGTCTGTGAGTGGGAAAGACCAGGAGGCCATCTCCCAGAGACAAGAGGACAGCGGCTGGACACTTGACATTCAAGTGACAGCTTTTGCCCATCCAGACCAGAAATCCCAAGGACTGGAAATAGCTCAGTGGTACTGAGCTTGCCTAGCAAGTGCAAGGCTCTAGATTCCATTCTCAGCACTGTAAGAAAACCAAATCCAACAAACAAAAGATCTTCCACTATACATGGTAGCACACTAATAATTCTAGCACTCAGGAGGCTGAGGCGGGAGGCTCTTGAGTTCAAGGCCAGCCTGAGCTGCATAGCAAGACCTCTCTCAAAAGCCAACAAACAGGGGCTGAGGAGATGACTCAGTAAAGCACTTGCCAAGCAAGCATAAGGATCTGAGTTTGATTCCCTGAACCCACATAAAAAAACTGACCATAGTGGCACAGGCTTCTAATCCTAAGACAGGGGAGGCAGAGATAGGCAAATCCCTGGGGGTCACTGGTCAGTTAGCCTAGCCAAACTGGCAAGTCCCAGTACCCAGTGACTCAGAAAAACTAAGGTGGGGCTGGTGAGATGGCTCAGTAGATGAAGGCATCTGCTGCCAAGCCTGATCTGAGTTCAAACCCCCGGACCTACAGAGTAGAAGAAGAGAACTGTTTTCTGCAAGTTGTCTTCTGACCTCCACATACACACCATGACACATGCACATGAACACACACAAATTAAATTAAATAAAGTAATAATAATATGATAAATAAGGTGGGCAGTGCCTGAAGAATGACACCCAAAGTTAGCTTTTGGGTTCTGATCCTTGGGCCTCTGAGGGTCACTTTGTACAGGGGGTTTTTTGGGCCTAATGAGCTGGAACCCCTTCCCAGTGTCCCTGCCCAAAGCCTCTCCAGCCATACCCATCTTCCCCCCTCCACTCCAGCTCACTAGCGCCCACTCCTGTGTCCACAGCTGTGGGAGCACTTCCCCCTTGCGCAAGAAGAAGAAAAGCATGAAGAAACACCGCAGAGACAGGTACCTCACCGTCCCCACCTCTTCTGCAGCCTTAGGTCTCACTTTCCTGAGCTGTGCTCCTCTGTGTGCCCCTGGTCATCCCCAGCTAGGCTCAAGAGAACTTCTTTATCACCATGTAGGTCTGATTCTGGGTCCCGGAGGAAGAGGCGACACAGGTGAGCGTGTGCCGAGAATGCTGCCAGTCCCCTTCTGGGCTCAAAGCCTATAGGAAGTATTGATGAGATGGAGGTCTTGAGTCCAGTATGGCCCTATCTCCCAATCCACGGGCTCCTTCCCTGATCCACATGGAGTGTATGTGTGGTGGTGGAATGGTGGGGGTGGGGGGAAACACAGTCAACAGATAACTGTTTTCGACCTTTGCCTGCCTCAGGAGCCAACTTTGATGTAAGAGTCCCAAGGATTTTCAGAAAAGTCCGACACCCAGGGAGTGTGTCTGGAGGTCCAATGCGCCCTCTCTGAAGGCAGATGCATCAGGACCTGAATTGCAGGGAAAGGGGCGAGGCAGCTTTGTGAGCTGGGGCAGCTCCCTGGGTGGGTAGGAACCTGGATGGACCTATCAAAGCTAAAGATGGGGTTCCTGGTAGGTAGGCTGTTAGCCTTCTACAGAGCTGACTCCACCCAGGTGGGACAGCAGACCAGCATGAGATAAATTATTCAGGGCCAATGGAAGAAAAGGAGAGACCCAGATAGAAGCTTGGAGGAAACTCAGTATGGAAGGAACAAAAGTCGTGAGGCAGTTACACCTTTACTTTGGAATCAGACACCCTTCCTGCAGGAGGGGCAGAGTCCCCAGGCCCTTCCTTGGCTTGCTTTTCCTTTACCAAAAGTCACTTGTACCAAGTAATAAAAGAGCCTAAATAACCCCCTAACCCTAGCCTTCCTAGTTCTCCGATTTTCCATTTATGCCCTACCCTCTAGGGTTGTGTGGGCCTCTGCTGTCCCCTAGTGATCACCACTGGCCAGGACAGGACCTAGATGTGAGCTAGAACTACTAATACCAGCCTCATAGTGAAACTGAAGCCCAGAACAGGCAGCAAGGATTCCAGAGAATTCCAAAGAACCTTTCCTAATCATTTTGCTCCTATAGGAAGAGTATATTTTTGTATTTACTATATTTGTTTGGGGTCAGAGGACTGAAAAGATTTGATGGCAGTAAGGAAGATGGTGCCTGCGGGGATGAGGGGTGGGGCAAGATCTTCAAGGCCTAACTAGAGGCTTCTTAATCCTTGTATCAAAAGCAGAAGGGGACCAATTGAGCACAAGGCTTGGAGATAAAACACTGGCCTACAGTCCTCCAGTGAGGGTCTGGGGATGTGGCTCAGTGGTAAAGCTCCTGTCTAACTGTGCAGATCTATCTTTTCTACCCTCAGTACCACATACAAACATACCCCTCCTTGTGAAGTCTTGTTGTACCTTATGGGGTGAGATGGGCAGATCCTTCTCAGCCAGGGAGGTGTAGGCCTAAAAGAAGAACAAATCAAAGTTCCACACCTGAACTCAGCTGTGTTTTAGGGCTCCAAGATCACATTCACCCAGCCCCGCTCAGACTGGATCTCTGTTTCCTGCAGATCTCGAAGCCCCAAGAGCAAAAGAAAAGAAAAGAACAAAGAGAGGAAGCGGTAAGCACACTCTCTACTCTCTTTCCTTCCACCCCAGAAAACGTAGCCTTTTTGCACCCCCAAAACCAACCTCTTAAAGACAGTTCTTTAGAATCAAAAGTTCAAGGGCAGGGGACTGGAGAGATGGCTCAGTGGTTAAAAGTACTGGCTGCTCTTGCAGAAGACTCAGGTTTGGTTCCCAGCACCCATGGATGCTCTCTTCTGGCCTCAGTGGGCACTGCATGCATGTGATGCACTTACATGCAGGCTAAACACTCATATAAATAAAATAAAAATAAATAAATTCAAAGAATTCAAGGGCAGCCTATGCTAAAACAAAACAAAACAAAACAAAACAAAAATGCCGCTCGAACTGTGCCAGGCAGAAAAATTAAGATTCAGAAAAGATGCCAAGAGGCCTTGTGAGCCAGTGGAAGAGTTGGTACTGGTGGATTCTAGGCCCCTTTCCTCCTAGTCCAGGGGCCTTTGACCCTACTGCCTTCCTCCAGCCATACCCCACATTCACAGGAGGACCAGGTGAGAGATGAAGGGTCTTTGGAAGCTGGGGCTGTGCAGAGGAAAAGCCACTTTTCCCTAACTCTCAAAGATGACCCCTGTGCAGGCTGGAGAGATGGTTCAGTGGTTAAGAGCACTGGCTGCTCTTGCAGAGGACCAGCTTTTGGTTCCTAGCACCCACATGGCCGCTAACAACCATCCCTAACTCCAGTTCCAAGGGATCTGATGCCCTCTTCTGGCCTCCGTGGGCATTGTATGCTGCATTTACATACATGCAGACAATTACCCATACACATAAAATTAAAAATTAAAATATTTTTTTAAAAGATGGAACCTTATCCCAGCCCCAATCAGGTGATTTTTGTAGAAGACCATGTTTTGTGGTGGGGGGAGGAGGCACAACGAGACGTGGGATCCCAGAGTGACTGCCCTCAGACACCTACACCAAATCCCTGAGGTCAGGTCAGGTTACACCTGGGGCAAGGAATTTCTAGCTGACTCCCCTCTCCCACACCAGGCCTCATACTGAGTCCCCAGGCCGGAGGTCTCACCGTCGCAGCAGCGGCAGTTCCCACAGTCCTTCACTCTCCTCACACTACAGCAATTCTGGAACACCCAGCAGGTAGGGGGAACCCCAGAGTGGGCTCAAGATGTGCTTCAAGGAGGCTGGGGATGTGGCTCAAAGAGTAGAGTGCTTGCCTAGTATGCACGAAGTCCACCCCAGCACTACATAAATTGGGCATGGTGGTGCACGCCTGTAATTCTTTTGGAGATGGGTGCAGGAAGTCAGGACTGGGATGCCAGGCTGGTGTGCAGAACCAGAGCTCATCAGCTAGGATCATACTGATACCCACGTGGAGGAGGAGCTCTGGGAGTCGCCCCCAACTTAAATGGGGGAAGTCGAGGTAGCGCAGGGCTGGCTCGAGAGCTGGGGACCAGGCCGCCTGCAGAGGGGGCGTTCCACGCTGGCTTCCCCGCATCCCTCCACCTCCCGCAGACTGAGCCCCAAGCATCGAGATGACGGCCGGAAGATGGGCAGCCAGCGATCTAGCGGGAGCGGGTCTCCGTCCCCGTCGAGCGGCAGTGGATGGGGGTCGCCCCAACAGAACGGAGGTAGCAGACAGCGGAGCGGAACGCACGGGGGCCGCCCAGGTTCGGCGCACAGCCGGCCCGATGTACGTATGCTTGGCTTTGCGGAGGGTTCCCCACGCTGCTCGCGTGGGATGCGCCGTGCAGGGCGGAGCTGGGTAGCTGGACAGGGTCGGGGAGTGGACTGGGCGTGATGGGTCACTGGGTGACAGGGACCTGGATTGCTCCCTCCCTTCCCAGTGCCCTCCTACCTAAACGTCAGGTGAGGGAGGCGCCGGGATTGCTCGGTTGGACGGATGTCGCTCCCACCTTGGCTTAGTAGTGTGGTGAGGGGTTTGGAGGGTGGGGAACTGCAGGCTTGGGCCACATTAGTGTTTGGCAAAGAGAAGGTGATTTGGATAGTCAATTGAAAGACTCTTACCGCCCCCCGCCCCGCAGGCTTATGGGGGAAATAGGTGTGGATACTGTAAGTCAGGACAAGCCATTCAAGCTCCGGTGAGCGTCACGTGACCACCCAAGTCCTTCCCTCCCCCCTTTGAGTCCTTCCCTTCCCCAACCCCTGCCACTAGCCCTTCCCGCCTCTCTCAGATACCTGCAATGAGCTTCTTTCCTACTTTGCCCTGACACTGCCTATCCTTGGACAAGAGTCTCAACACATACCCTCAAGTCCCAGGCGCGTCCCTACCGAGACTACACAGGATTCCCACTGTTTCTGTCCCTTCCCCCCAAATTGTCCCCACCCATCCTCTGGGAGAGACACAGCCACCTCCAGATCTTCAGGCAGGTGTGGTGATCTTAGAGACTGGCAGAGAACTTGAGTTAATTTTTTTTTTCCCACATGGAGGGGTTGGACCACATGAGAGTCTCCAGACTCCTTTCAGGCTGTTACTCAGAATATAGAGTTGAGGTCCCTCAGGGAGAGACTGCTGTAGTGCCAACAGGGGCACTGGGTGGACTTGGGGACTTGGGGTGCTATAGTCTGCAGGTTCCTCTGCACTCCCAGGATGCCTCAGCCAGGAGGGGGAGAGCTGCCCCTCCCCAGACCACAGGTGTCTGCAACCAATATGAACCTGTACTTGTCCGTCAGTTTCATTTTGATTTTTTGGCTGTTTTCTTTCACGCCCTTCCTTTATTCAAATACCCTTCCTTCCATGGTCTCAGAGAGGAAGGTCAAGGGCAGCAGACACAAGATCTTTGTTCTCTAGGTATCTATGGAAAAACATTACCTGCCTCTGGACTGTCCTACTATAAAACGGTGCCAGGTTCTTGGGCTACCTCCAGGGACTGTGGTTGGGCCACCTGTGGTTCACACTGATGTCCCCTGGATCTGTCTTGGAGACGGGACAGGGCAGGAAGAGTTAGCCTAAGGCAGCCGTCAAGTACTGAAACTGACAGGCCAACACAGAAAAATAGCATGGCCATCCCCAAAATTCCTGAGCACAGAGACCTAAGGGCACACACAGCCTCCCCCTGGGGGCCTCCTGGGAGACCCCAAAACATGGGCTCTCTCAAGCCAGGACTGAAAGTAGGTAGGTCCTATCCAATTTATGATCCCTTCTATGGAACCCTGGAAATCTGAGAAATTTCCCAACCCCCTACCTCTTGCAAGGGTCCTGTCCAAGTGCAGGGAATGGCTACAGTGACTAGACTGCTTGTGCAGTTGGTCTAGGCAGACTTTCTGTCTCCTCAAAACTAGACTCCATTTCAATATAGTCATGGGAATTTTCCAACAGAAAGCAGTCACAAACCATAGCTCAAATCTTATCCCTTATCCTTGCATCCTGGGTGATCTGAGACCTTGAACATCCCAGTTCTCCAGCCTGTACTCAGATTCCCTTGTTTCCTGAAAAGACTTTCAAGGGAGTTCAATGAGTCTGGTTCTCCAGTGCCCAGAAAGGTGAGACAGGGGGATTGGGAATCAATAGCTTTCACCATTAAGAAAAAATGTTGGCAAAAGTACTGGGGGGTGATATTTTTAGACACTATCTTTAAGAAAAAGAGAGAGAGAGAGAGAGAGAGAGAGAGAGAGAGAAACAAATTGAAAAGAAAAAGAAACGCTCAACATTTTTTAACCCCGTCTATGTTTTTGTTTGTTTTTTAGCCTCCCATTTGAAACGTGGTAATACTGTGATTCTGTTTCTTATTTAGCTGAGGGTGGGGAAGTTTATGTCATTTTTCATGTTATTTTGGTTTTGTTTGTATTTCCTTTTTCTTCATTTTTAAAAGATCTTGTACAGAAATGCAAGCTATTTCTCTGGGTTTTGTTTTGTTGGTTTTTTTTTTTTTCCTCTATCTTATGTGTTATTCTAGAATTTTGCTTTTGTGTGTTACTGTGGAATCCTAACGCAGAGATGGTGTTTGAATTTCAAGTCTCCATTAGTCATATTTGTATCTTTATATACTTCCTTTGTCATCAGAATTTAAAAGGGAACACAACTCCAAGCATAAAAAGCAGTCACACCAATAACACCTGCTAAATTAAGAAAGACAATTAGCCTTCTTAGACCCCAGGGAACATACTGGAACTATCTCAAGTTTTAAATTAACAACACTGGTGCTTTTGAGTCAATACAGGCCCTTGCAAGAGCTGGGGACCACAGAGAGGAAAGAGGCTTGTCCTACATTACCCAGGGAGCTTCCTGGATGTGTAGCAGCTGGGGTGGTAGGAACAGGCAAGGAACAGCCTGTTCAGCAGCTTCACAGTCAGGCCTCAGACCCTTCGGAAACTCTTGAGGAGGAATCTGAAGGCAGCTGCAAGTTCTAAGTTTTCCAAGCTAGACATTCTAGGCTGCAGAAAAGCACTCTCCTGGTCTTGGGACAAGCCACTGATGTCCCAGCTCCAAACAAATTCTCCACCTGAGAACTAGAGCCAGACCTGATGGCACACACTTGTAATCCCAGCACCTGGGAGGCTGAAGCTGGAGGATCACAAGTTCAAGGCCAGCCTGGGCTATGAAATAAGTTCAAGAGCCAATCTGGGTAACTTAGTCTCAAAATAAAAAATAAAAAGGCAAGCCGGGAGTGGTGGCGCACACCTTTAGTCCCAGCATTCGGGAGGCAGAGGCAGGCGGATCTCTGTGAGTTCAAGGCCAACCTGGTCTACATAGTGAGTTCCAGGACAGCTTGGGGCTACCAGGAGACCCTGTCTCAGAAAGACCAAAAAAATAAAAATTTTAAAAAAATTAAAAGGCTGTTGATGTAGCTCAATGGTAGAGTGCTTGCCTACCATGTGCGAGGTTCTGGAGTCAATCCCTAGGACCATAGGGGGTTAAAAAAAAAAGAACTGAATGTGGCTTAGTTGGGAGAGTGCTTGCCTAGCATCCGTGAGGCCCTACGTTCATCCCCAGGACCACATACAACCCAGGTGTGAAAGTCCACATCTGTAATTCCAGCACTTGGGAGATGGAGGGAGGTGAATCGGGCATTTAAGGTCAGACTGTCTACATATGTGCTACATGAGTCTCTGTCTCAAAAATAAAAAATAAAGCCGGGCATGGTGGCACATGCCTTTAATACTAGCACTTGGGAGGCAGAGACAAGTAGATCTCTGTGAGTTCAAGGCTTGCTGGTCTACATAGAAAGTTCTAGGCCAACTGGGGCTTCAGGGAGACCCTGTTTCAAAAAACAAAAATTAAACAAAATAAGATGATATGGAAGCACTGGGGCTGATCTGAGGCAAAATCTATCCTCCAAATTGACCTGTGGTTGTTTTCCCTTTTGAATACACCGTTCCCTTCCCACCCCGTCCATCCTGTCTTATTGGCCTCATTTAACCTTAGCTCTTTTCTGTCTGGCTCTACCTGTCTGCCTTCCTACCTCTGTGAATTTTTTTGTCCTTATTTCTGCCTTTGTGTTTCCTCGAGCTCTCTCTCCATGTCTGTCTCTCTGTGCCCATTTGTGTGTCTTTCCCCTCCATCTCTCTCCCACTGACATGACCCTCTCTCCCAAGTTACCAGCCTCTTCTCTAACTACCCTGTGGTTCTGTGTTTCTTGGCTGCTGCGTGCATGCCCTCCTGAGGGTTTCTATTGTGTAAAGAATTAAGGAACGCTTGGCTATTGGAGCCTGTGGTTTAAAATTTAAAAATAAATTAATCTAACAGAGATGACTGGGCAAGTGCCCCCTTTCTATCCCTGGGGCAAATTCCAAAAGCCACAGGGTAAATTGGTTCCCCTCTACTGGCTCAGAGGGGGACTATATTTATAATCACTGCCTTCCTGCAGTGAAAAAGAGACCTTTCTTTCTTTTTTTCTTTTTTAAAATTATTGCATTCCTGTCCCTGACCACTAAGAAGGTAGGTACCCCAGCTCAGCTGCCAGCTTGCCTCTTGCTTCCATCTCAGATAGCCCGGCCACTCCGCTTAGTTTGAATGTGATATTTCTCTCTCCAATCTCTCTCTCTCCCCCCGCCCCCCACTTTGCTCTGGTTTAGTTTTTTTCTCTGTTTTCCCCCTTCGTTCCTTTTTTTTTGTTTTTTTGAGTAGTCTTTCATTTCCATTTTCTTCAAATGAGCTGCCACTGTTTCCTGGTTGTCTTTGATTTTCTTCACCCTCCCTCCCTAACCCCTGAGAGGTTGCTGGTACATCTTCCATCCTCTCCATCTCCCCTATCCCTGCTTCTCCCTTTCCATCTCCTGATCCCATTCCCAAGTCCTCCTTCACTCTCTCTCATTCTCATTTTGTTGACTGAATGCATTTCTGTGTGGTTTAGCATTTAAACTTAGTGTCTCTTCCTGAACTGTATGCTTGCAGTTGGGCCGATTTGATTTTAATATATGGAGTGGTTGCTGAGCCCTTCATCCTTCATCCTTGCCATCCCTTGGCTGGGGGCTTTGGTCATACATACCCCAGAGCCCGCCTGGGCAGTAAGCAGTGGGAGAATGGGCTATGTGAGCCTCTTGGCCTCCAGATCTGGGAGGAAGTTCTAGTCAAGGTCAAGTTCAAAGTAAGAGGCCATTGTACCATCTGGGGGGTGACTGTGCCAGGCTGAACTCTGGGCTCAGACCAAGTTCTTCTCTGCCAAGAGCTTGAAGATAGAGCTTCAGGGGTCTGGGGTCTTTATTGGCACTAGGACCATGAGGTTCACAGCT